TTTCTTATATATTGAATATCACATTTGAACCTTCATTAGTATCATTCGTTATTTAATAGTTATTAAAATTATATATTTATTGCAATTGTCTATTAGTGACAGATAAGCAAATTGAACTTCGTTGTTGTGATTAAAGTATTGTTTTTTTCTAAAATCTTAGTTCGTAAGTCTAAACCACTCCCTGTGGGATCGATATCTAGGACTCCATTAGAGCCCCATATTACTTGAGTGATATGTATTACTTGCATTGATAAGTGTGACTTTAAAATTATCGTATATTTATTACGTCCATATTTATCTTATATTTTTAAGCATATATAAAGTCGCGGTCATTTACCAATGTAAATCATGCTCAAATCGAAAAATCTAGTGACATAGAACTTGCTTGTAGGTAAAAATCCTACTCGAATAGATTCATCTAACAACTTTATTATAAAACTATCAAATTATGTTCATTTTCTTAATTCCCGTGGGTAGATTAAGAAATATTGGGTAGATTAAGAAATATAAAAGATTAAGAAATATAAATTGATATTTCATCCTAATTAATCATACAAATATAACAAAATTCTTGTGGGTAGATTTCATTATAACTCTTATGATTAATTACAACTAACGTTTTAATGTGATTCTTGAACGATTCTTGAACTTAATATATAATTTTAATTAATTAAATATGTTGTGGCTATTCCCTAATTAATTAAAATTATATGAATCAACTAACAATAATTAATTCTTTATTAAGAGCTAAACATTTGCATGCAAATAAAATGAATAACAGTGCATTTTTTTTACTCAAAACGACATGTCGATTTGCATGAGGAGGCTAGTTTTTGTCGAATGAAAACGACACACCGTTTTCACCAGCGCTCAGACGACAAGTCGTTTGGCTCGTCTTCAACCTTCAGTCGGGTTATCTCGATCCAGTTCAGACCCGCGGCTCCGAATGGGAAACCTGACGGTTTCACAGCCAAAATCAATTGTTCAAATCACAAAAAGCTTAGAAACTTGATTTCGACATGATTTCCGCTATTATTTTGGATTAACAACGTCAAAATTCTAATGCCCCAAAATCAAAATGTTTTCTCCAAAATCGAGCAATAATAATGGACATTAACATTAATGTCTCAACTAAGATTTATGCATAAACAAAGTGAAACAGAGTAAGCAAGACATATGTTAAACATTGATCTGATTCCCAATGATGTAATAATATCATATTCGATTTAAACATGTTCACAAACATAAACAAATAAATTTGAATCAATAAGCGGAAGCGAGATAGAATCATACATACCTCCAGCCATAACTTACACGAATAGAGTCAACATTCACAACTCTTACGGCAAATTTTCTATTATAGATCTTTTAAGTTTTTCTCACTCACAACCCGATTGTGCAAATAAAATGAAGAGGAGCAAGCTTAGGGACCAAAACAACAAGTATCACGTCTAATTATTGTGCTCTGCCCATCACAGAGTTCAACAGACGTGAGCAAGACAATGCGAGTTTTTCTCGCATTATAAACGTTATGGAACGTTACTGAATTCTACTGTTAAACTTAGACACTATATAGACCATATTCTGGAATTTATTTTCCTTTAAAGCAACAAAGAATTTCAACAAAAATTGAAACTTAAACAAAACATTAATTAATTTAGGAATCCTAATTGAAAGAATCCCAACACACTTTTATCTTGAATAAAGGAAGATATAATTACAAAGTTGATAATTACAAATGGACAATAGTAGTATAACATTAATAGTTGTAACTAGGTTAAAATAAATTTATTTCGTGCCCATAATAGCAAAAGCGGGCCCATGGTCGTAGTTGGTTGTTGCAAATGTAGTAATTAATCACAAAGGTGGCAATCATTGGTTTCAATAACATATGTTGGCCATAAAGTCATAAATGGAAGACTGCAATAATGTTAGTTGTCGCAGATGTTATAGTTTGAAGTTGTTGTAATTGTTGACCACATAGTCACAATTTATCGCATAGACTATAGTTGATTGCTGCAATAATATCAATTGATCACAGTGTTTGTATCACAGAGGTGGTAGTGGAAAACTGCAGTCGTAACTGGCCATATAGATTGTAGTTGACAGCTGCAATCAGTTAATCATAAATGCCACAGTGGAGAGTTGAAGAGGTAACTGGTCATATATGTTATAGTTGGTAGCTGCAAGAGCATTTGTTGACTACAGAGGTCATAGTGGGAAGTTGCAATAGTAACTGGCCACATAGGTCGTAATTGGTAGTTGCAATAGCTTCAGTTGACCACAGAGGTTATACTAGGAAGTTGTAGTACGAATTGGTTAGATAAGTTGTAGTTGGTCACATATTCAATAGTTAGTCACATAGGTCGTAATTGGAGGCTATAATAGTAGTTAGCTAGATAGGTCGTAATTGATCACATAAGCAAGGGCTGGTAGATTCAATATCATTGGTGGGTCTGACAGATCATTGTAGTTGATAATTGTAAGAGCATTGGCGGGCCACATAGGCCATATTGGAATGTTGCAATGTCAACAATTGGCAACATATGCCATATTTAGAAGTTATAGTAGTAGCTAACAACATAAGTTATAATAAGTTGTTGCAAGAGCATCAGTTAGCCACAAAAAATGTAGTGGAAGAACGTAATGACAATTGTTAGCCACAGTGGATAGCTACAGTAGTAAATGGCCACATAGATTATAGGTCATTGTAAGACCATTAATTAGCCACATAGGGTGTAATGAAAAGTTGTAATGACAACAGTTAGCCATGTAGGCTACAATGGGTGGCTACATAGACTATAGTGGGTCACTGCAAGAGTGTCAGTTGGTTATCTATACTGGATCACTGTAAGAGATTCAGTTGGCTACAACAACAATTAGTCATGAAGGTCGCAATGGGTAGCTATAGTAACAACTGACCACATAGGTCATACTAACTTGTTGTAAGATCACCAATTGAACACAAAGGCTTTGGTGTAATGTTGTAATGACAACAGTTAGTCACGTCAGTCATGGTGGGTAGCAATAGTAGTAACTAGCTACATAGACTTCAGTGAAAGGATATAATGACATTAGTTAACCATGCTGGGCATAATGGGTAGTTATAGTAAAAACTGGTCACATTCGTCGTAATGGGTCACTACAAGAGAGTCACTTAAAGATTATTTGGAAGCTATAACGACATTAAGCCACATATGTCATAATAGAAGTTACGTAAGTTCGTGTCTGCATCCCTTCTATCAAGTTTATTATTTTGCACCTGTAACATCACTTGTCAATATACAACACAAGAAAAAAACTTCAATTTCGAAGAAATTTGTATTTTGATTATGATAGTTGTAAACAGTTTTCGTCAGGAGTTACCGACGGATCTTTAATATGACATGTTCGGGATACATCATTGCACAATACTTAAGTGACCAGAGGAAAGTATGTTGAGATTTTCATACATACTTTATACTGTTTTTGATGATATTTGTTGGCTTCGTCTTCTGTAGGCAGGGAAGAAACTCTTTTGGCTTTGGTCCCAATTCGAGTGCCGTGGATTTTAGGGTGGCTTTCTTTTCTCTTCTTCTATTTTTTCTGCCTATAAGGGGAGTTCCTGGTGGTTTTGTTGAGGTTGTTGAGGGTTTAGCTACCGAGACTACAGGACAAAATTCTCCAGAAGCCCGCCGACGGTGAGATCGACGGTTATGCTACTCAAGCTTTGGATAAGACCAAATTTTGAAGGGATGCTTAGGCAACTCTTGAGAAAGCTCATCCACAACTTTAAAAGAACATTTTTGGCCGAAAATTGAAGAGACTAGAGGCCTTGGAGGTTACCATTAGTGTATAGAATTTCCAATAGTGTAACAATTGTGAGGAATTCTTCGAGAGATTGTAAGAGTGGAAGCAAAATGAGAGATTTCTTTCTCTTTGCTACTTCGAAGAGGAATTTTGTGTGTTGTAAAGAAAAGAAGAGATTCAGAGGAACTTCGAAGAGTGTTCTTGGGGAGAAATTAGAGATAAGTTATTTACTTGTTGTAGTTTGTATGACTTTGATTTTATATATGAATTCCGAGTTTTGTTGTGTTTTCCCCATGAGTTCTGAGTAGTTTTCTCTGTCTTTCTCCTTGTCTCGAGATTTGTGAAATGGTGATTTGAATTGGTGAAGCCATGAAAATGTTTAAGAAATTGTGATGATCTTTTCACTTCAATCTTAATTTACTTTCAATCTGGTCAATTGACTTGTTAAAATATGTTGAGTTTTACAACTAAAGTGAAGATTACATCCAAGATTCAGGAAGGTCAAAGCCATTGGAAATTGGGTGCAAATAAATAGGAAAATAATATTATCGGGCGTAGAATTGGATATTTTAGAGTGACAGACTAAAATCTCCAATTCGGTCCTATCGTTTGTGTGCTGAAGTGTAGATGTTAGCCCTTAGGTGAGGGGAACGTGGGAGCTCTAAAGTGAGAGCCGATATCCTCCCAGCCTAGCCGCAGATTCAGTAAACAAGCATAGAATTAGTCAATGTTCTTTATGCCTGGACGAAAGGGTAAAGAATAGGTATGCTCCTATTTGACACAATATAAATTGAACTAATTCATTTTATCCATTCACCATAATTTCTTGACAAGGAGAATAATGCTTTCTTATATATTGAATATTACAATTAAACCTTACTTAATATCACTAGCTATTTATTAGTTATTAAAATTATTTATTTATTTCAATTGTCTATTAGTGACAGATAAGCAAATTGAACGTCGTTGATGTGATTAAAGTATTGCTTTTCTAAAGTCTTAGTCCGTAATTCTAAACTACTCCCTGTGGGATCGATATCTAGGACTCCATTAGAGTCCTATATTACTTGAGTGATACGTATACTTGCGTTGATAAGTGTGACTTTACAATTATTGAATATTTAATACGTTCATATTTATCTTATATTTTATTGCATATATAAAATCGCTGCCATTAAGCTACTTCGTTACGTTGTGTTTTTGGTACTTCATTACTCTATGTTCGAGGTGTTACATTATGTCGTGTTCGGGGTACTTTTTTACATCGTATTCGGGATACTTTGGTACACAAAATTTGATGTATTTTATTATAGTGTGTTCAAGTTACTTCGTTGCACCATATTGTTTATAAACGAAGACGAGAAAGGTGCGACGACATTGGTCGATGACAATAGATGGGAGGAGTTGGCAATGGTCGATGGTTGTGGGGGACTGTAGTTATCGATGGGTTTTCAGTTCAAAACAACACTAGAATTAAACTCCTTATCCTTTTATGTGAAGATAGGTAGTCTATTTAAAACCTCTAATGGAAGGACATTTTCATTCTTTGGTGAATATCTCCCATAACGACTCAATCCAATGACCCACATTGATTCTCTTGATTATAAGATGCTTTTTTTATGATATGATAACTTAATGACCAAAGGATCTGGTGATCTTAGGCTCATTGATTCCTCTAATCGAGATTCTTATGCATGTAAAATACCATATGAGTCAACACACTAGCAGGAACAAGCTTACACATGTAAAGTACAAGAAACACCTCAATATGGACCCCTTTAAGGAATGGGCAAAAATATAATATCCTCATTTTGCACCATCTTCTCTATAAATAGGCGAATCATTTTAAGAATGAGACAAGAATAATCACGACAGATTAATGTTCACTCTTTCTCTTTTTATTTCTATCCCTCTCTTTATTTATGCTCTCTATTCATTAGGCGTGATTCACCGACAAATCAAGATTCAACAAAAATGATAATAAATATTTTAAATATAAAAAATTAATAAATTCATATGATTATATATTATATTGCACAGTTCTTTCTATATAAATTAAATTATCATTCTATCTATGCAACCAAAATACACTTGACCAAATCTTTAGTGGATCAGACGGCTCAGAGCGGAGCACGTGTCACTTGTTAGAGTTCTGTGAGAATAAATAAAGATATATAGAGGCCACATATCGATCGAGTGACTGATCAAGGCTCAACCAACCTAGAGGATGGTCAAAGCAAAGCCGGATATCGATTGAGTGATCGACCAACGGTCAATCGACCAAGAAGACAATCAAATGAAAGGCCAAATGACGATCAAGCGACTGACCAAAGATCAACTGACCCGAAAGCCACCCAAACAAGAGGTTGACCGATTCGAATACCACTCAGATAAAGGTTAACCGACAAGAGAATGATATGTCGGATATTCAACGACCCCAGGGGTCGCTAACTAAATAGGATTAGGAGTGTAACATTCATTTTATACTATTCATAGCCCTTTATAAATAGAGGGGCATACATGTTCTTGAAAACATATACCAAAATATCTTATTTTTCTCTCATTTTTACCATTTTTTTTTTGGGCGTAATTGATCGATAAATTTGGGTTCATATAATATTACTCTACAAATAAAGAAAATCATATATGCCGGCCCACCATGATTTGTGCTTAATTTCTGGGCCTTGTCACATGCACCCACGTTCAAGTCAGTAGCTTTTAAATGATGGTCAAGCTTTTTCTTGAAACTTAATTTTACATCTCTTGAATCATATAAAAAGAAAATTATAAATATTATAATATGATCATATTAGAAATAAATTATAACAAATATTAATTATTCCTATATTATACATATTACAAAAATTAAATATTAATTATAATTATTCAATAAACCAACCTTAACCAAAAAAAAAAGATTTTTTTTTTATAAATATTCCTCATAATAATAATAATAAAATGTATATGTAGCCATTTTTTAGCATCACATAATCTAAAAAAAGGGATAATTACGTAAAGACCACCCGAAACATTGATATTTACAAATTAGCCATCTAGATGATATTTGGGGTTTTAGCATGAATTTTGGTATTTAAGTGAATTTGAAAAATGGATGAAAGAGGGTGTAATTGTAAAGAAACATTACAAATTAACCAGCAAGAAATGCTCAAAGAAGAGTTTAAAAGAAAATATAAAAATAATAAAGGAGTTTATCATAAATTTGTGGTATACAAATTCAGGCCTCTGGTCCTGCCAGGTGCTCCTCCTTTAAGCAAGGCCCAATCAAGAATGAGCCTAAGAAATTAAAAAAGCAACATTTAACTTTAAAAAGAAAAATGCAAAAAATGAAAATATATAAATAAAAATAATTAAATTTGAAAAGGCTTACTTGGTTGAAGAAGAAGAAGCACTCATTCCATTAATTCCACAGTGAATTATAACCTTCTTGTCTGCTTTGGATGTTGAGTGGGAGAATGGAACCATGAAACTCTTCATAGCTGTGTCATATCACAATAATTTCATGTTTTCTCAAAGAAAAATATATATATATATATATATATATATATCTAAAAGATTTAAATACATACCATTCATCCCCTATATATATACATATATGACACATTGGTTATGCATGAAAAATGTTTATTTCACTTTTCAGAAGTTAAAATAGCAGTTTTTTTGATGTGATATGAAAGATTTGGGAGGTAGAGATATAAAAAGTGAAGTTTTGGAGTTAGATATGTAAATAAATAGGAATTGTGTGGGTATGTATGCAAATGCCCCCAAAAACATTGGAAGTAAGTTCTTAAAACATACAAGGTTGGGATGGTTCTCTGTCTGTTTCATCCAAAGCAAGTAGTTTCTGCGCCAAATAGAGTTTGGACAAGAATTATTACATTAGGGCAGGTTTATAAAGCAATTTCTCTACTTTGTGAAATTATAATGAGCACCTTCAGGTTTTGATAGCACGATTCGAGCTCGTCATTTATCAATAGGTGATCAAACAGGCCGTTGGACTCCGCTTGCTCGAGCTCGGCTCGGGCGTTTGTTAATCTTTTTTGGATCTGTTCTTCCGCCTCTGTGCCACTGTAGATGGCAGAATAAACAGATTAGAAAAGGCTAAATCTAATATTGTGTGATAACTATTAGAAAACTGTTGGCACTAAGTTGTTTGTGTAATCGAACATACAAAGTGGTATCAAAATTTTCATAATTACCGTGCACGAAGTCGTTTCTCGAGCTCTTCAAATGATGGAGGGCGAACGAAGATAAATGTTGCTTCAAGTGGGCTAGCTCTCACAGACCTTGCACCTTGAACATCAATATCAAGAATGCATCTCTGCAAAATAAATAAATAAATTATACCAAATGCTGAAACAATGGACTCCATTTAGATTTCTTTATAGTATTCTTAATGATTAAAGTGCCAACATGGTCCCCTAACTAATTACCTGGTGTCATTTTAGTCCTAGTCAATAAAAGTGTTAAATTAGTCCTTATACTCTTTTAATATTATCTTGGCCTCTATTAAAAGAGACTGGAGCCTAAATTGACATGTTCATATACTCTGGGACTAAAATGACCCCCAACAAAGAGTCGGATGATCAATTTGACACTTTGTTTGGTTCACAATTGATACGACCTTCCCAACATCAGAAACAGCTTCAACTGCCTCTATGCTCGTTCCATAAAGGTTTCCATGAACCAATGCGGATTCAAGGAACTTCCCATCCTGTATGTCTTTCTCCATCTTGCTCCGCTCGGTGAAATGGTAATGAACACCATTCAACTCATGTTCCCTCGGAGCTCTAGTCGTGTGGCTTACGGAGAACCCGAAGGTTGAGGGAAATTCTTTCATTAGCTTTGCTATTAAAGTGCCTTTGCCAACTCCGGAGGGGCCGCTGATCACAATAGGCTTTGATCCATGGCCTAATAAGCCCTTACTCCATGCCACTACCTCAGCACCAAGCTGCTTTCTTTTCTGTTTAACAAAAGGAGTGTCTACCTACAAGTAATGCAGAGAAATCATGAGTGAATAGAAGCTTGGGAATATATTAATCACAACATAAATATATTTTCTGAAAAACAATCTATAATTCATGAATCATATATCATCAGAGAACAGTGGCAAAGTAGCTTATGTTAGTCCCAAAGTCTATAGAAGTATCAATCAACTTCCCAAAATCTTTTAACATGGGTTGAAATAGTTCTAAGACATTTTAAAGGGAGAACTATTTCAACCCCCATTAAAAATTTAAAGACTAATTTCGCACTTTTATACTCTGAGAATAAAATAGCCAAATGTAACAGTGCATGGATCATTTTGACACTATTAGATATTAGCACACCCATGATTTTTCTTTTTTTAGATGAAGCTCAAAAGCCTGATTAAAATAAAAGCAAACATAAAAATAGGGCAATTACATACATAGCACTTGCTACTTACAAAAATAGCAAATTTTACATATAAATCACACAATTCTGTTATATTTACATATCTAACATAAAAATTTTCATATTTATAATTATAACACTTCGGTGTGATAAACCTATATCAAAACAAAATCAGATAGAGTTGATATTTGTCACTATGTAAACCCACAAGTAAACAAAATCAGGCATCTTCAGTATAAGTCTGTGAAGCATATTCTAGATTTGACAGCCTTTTTAATTTAAGAAAAAAATTCCATTAAAATAAAATTTGCAAAATATATAAATTATATTTAAAAAAATGAAGAGAAAAAACCTCAAGGAACCAGATGCTATTATCATGGGAAGATTCCTTCAGAAGTATTAATGCCCGCTCATTATCTATAAGAAAAGATGAATACCCATTCCTTGCAACCGGTTTTGTGCCTAACACAACAGGCTCCAACCTGATAATCAATGTAAATTTCAATAACTAATATTCATAAAAAAAAAAAAAAAAAAAAATTAAAAAAAAAATATTACACACCATGTGCCTGTTGGCTTATCAAAAACCTTGACATTGATTGAAAAATTAGAAATGGCTTCAGATCCACCAATTGAATACTGAAAATATAGCATTATATCAGCTCAAAAAAGGCTTACATTTTGCAAAATCATTACATGATTAAAGAACATACATTACATAATGAAGATGCTTACTATTTTATCAGCAATGATTGTGAAGGTCTCATACACCTTTGATTCTGAATCATGAACCATAGGTGGAAATTTTTCAGTTTTAGAAAGAAGAAATTCAGGAACTTCTTCCCCCTGAAAAGTTGAAAAAGTAAACAAAATCTCAGATAAACATTACTAAATATAACAATTTTTTCAAGGACAGTAGTTGAGTGCAATATCTCACACAAAATGGTATTAAAATCCTTAAATCACATTAAGGGGGTGTTTGGTAGCATAATTTTAACAGGATTTAGGCTGAATCTAACATAAATCCAGCCAAATGTAAAAAAAAAATTTTTTTTTTTAAAGTAAATCTGGATTTGTTAAATCCAACTAATTGGTGGATTTAACTGATTTAGCTTCGGAAGAAAGCCAAGGCCATAAGAACCTGAAATAAAATGCCAAACACATCTAACAATTTTAACTAAATTTAGCCTCAATTAAACCAAACAATATCCTAAATTTAACAGTGCATAGATTTACTAATTATGGATTTACCGGATTTACTAAATCCTATTAAACTTAAATACTAAGTGCAGCCAAACACCCTCTAAGTGTACCATAAATTTAAAATCATAGAAGGGAGCATGTTAAGGCAAGTTCTCCTCCCTCTAAATTTTAATTTTGCTTTATATAAAATAGATCCATAATCATATAAATCTTCTATCTTTTATCCTCTACAATATTCAATTACAATTTTTTTTTTTTTTTAAATTATGTTCAACAGAGCCATACATAAATAAAAATTAAACTTTTACATTGCTCCCATAAATTTTAAAGGCTTTTCAAACTTATCTCAATTTTTGTTCCTATTATAAAAAAGATAAATTTATTAAATCCACTGCAATTTTCCATAAGGATAACTCACCATAAAAAGCCGCCTTTTACCAATCAACCTGCTTCATGAATAAGAAATAAATCACTAACAAAAAATAGAAACAAATACAAAAAGGAATATATTGTCCGATCACAATTGCTATCAAAGAACCTTTTAACCGCACAGTAAGAGCATAACTAAGGAGAGCCAGAAATCATGAACAGAGAATAATACTTGTGCTTGCTATAATAGCGCCAAAAAATCTCATTCCCTATATATATATATATATATATATGTAACAAAATAATTAAAATTCGCTGAAACGGGACCGGACAAAGAGAGCTTCACCTCAAGATGAACTGTAAATATCATACGGAAAATAAAATGAATTAAACAGAACCCCAAGTTTTTCTTTATTTTCAATTTGTAACAGCGATCTCACCAACACAGAACCCCAAAATTTCAAATGCCGATCAAAAGCGGTATCGGAATTACCATCAAGACAATAAAAATAAAATTGAAAAGGGAAAATATTAAAGATAATCGTAAGACATCGCGATCTATGAATAATGCTTGAAAATCGCAAGACATTAGGTACAGGAATGAAAAGACCGGCATTCGCGAGGTAAATAAAGGAAATGAAGCGAGGGCTTACTCCGATTGCAGATTCTTGCAAGGATTAGGATCTGGGCGACGGAAGAAACCCCTTAAAATCAAGTCAACCGATCAAATTGGAACGATGAATTCACAGAAGGAAGAAGAAGAACAAGAACAAGAACAAAAATCGATCAATCAAATTTCACCCGCCACTTTTTACAGAGACGGAGATAGGGAGAGAGTCAGCGTGCGTGTTGTAGAAGAAACTTTCGCGGCTTTTTCCCGACTCGCGGTGCAGAATGAAATGTCCCGCGAGGGTTGATAGGGACAACAGATGGACGGCCACTGATTAGATTCGCGGAACCTGAGTTGCATGATACCGGGTTCTTTGATTGACACGTGTCAATTCAGGTTTGGTTCATATTCGACTCATTTGAAACTCGCTCGTACTCAAAATTACTCGTGAACAATATCTTTGTTTTCGGCTAGATTTACATACTCTTGTTTGTATTTAACTCACGTTCAACTCAAATTTAACTCATTGAAATTAATTAAGGGCTTGTCGAGCAGCAAATTCATTCTACAACGCAACTCGAGAAAAAGCCACGAAAGTTTCTTCTAAAAGACTCGTTGAGTCTATCTCTTTCTTTGTAAAAAGTGGCAGGTGAAATTCGATAGATCGATTCTTCTTCATTTTCATCGTTCCAATTTGATCGGGTGACTTGATTTTAAAGATTTCTCCAACACTGTCGCTTCATTTCTTGTATTTATCATCATCAATTCAAAATTATATTCGTGAATTCAAACACGAGCTATTTAATAAGTCCGCACATAATTTGCTCATAAATAACTAGTTTTTTTTTTACAAGCATGGCACGTATACAAATCATTCTAGCTCATTTGACTAAGATTTTTTTAAAAAATATTGCTTAAAATAATGATTTTCTTATTTCTTTTTTATATTTAAATAGGATTCCTGATGGGAATTCTTTGTCGTTTAGATGATGTGGGACTAAAAGTTTGGGATGACGGAACGCGCAATTTACATACATACCACCCAATTTGATCTATTTACATATGTGTTAAGAAAAGACAAGCTGACGGCAACATGCAATTTTTTAGGGGAAAAGCAGCTACGTGTATTTGGCTCATATGTATTATTTTAAGCACATTACAAACATACCACCTAGATTAGGGGTGTAAACGAACCGAACACGAACGAACAAAGCTTGTGTTCGTGTTCGGTTCGTTTAAAATTTAGTTTGTTTGAAATAAGCTCGTGTTCGTTTCTTAACGAACGAGCCGAACACGAACCGATAACTTATATTATATAAATATTCAATATCTATATTAGTATATTACTGCTATAGTATATTAATATATTATTATTATTATTTTATTATATATTATAATTTATAAAATTTAATGTTTTAAAATATAATAAATTTTTTATATATAATTATTTTATATTATTTTATATTTCAAACAATAACGATTCGAACACGAACGAACGCATCACTGTTCGTGTTTGGTTCGTTTAACTAACCGAACGAAAAAAATTTGTTCGCGTTTGTCTCGTTTACTTATCGAACGAATCGAACACGAACTCATTGACGAACCGAACACGAACTGTTCGCGAACAACGAGCTTTTTTGACAGCCCTAACCTAGATCATATTTATTTATATATCTAACACCTAAATTTATATATATTTTATAATTACACCACAAATTAGCATTTTTTAATACATATAAAAATTAATATAAAAAAGATATAAATAAATTTTATTATTTAATTATTTCGAGCTGAACACGAGCGAACAAACATTAGTTTGTATTCAGCTCGTTTATAAATCGAGCTTAAGAAGTTGTTCGTGTTTGGTTCACTTGCTTAATTAACGAATTGAACACAAGTTATTTAGCAAGCCGGATGCGAGCTGTTCCACGAGCATTTTTGACAACCCTAACTTTAACGACATAAACATTTCTCCTTTCAAGGAGCGAAAAATAAAGGCTTGTTGATCATCTAACATTTGCTCAACTTACATACTTTCAATTCAAATAATAATAATAATAATAATATTTAAAAATAAAAAATAAAAAAGATAAAAAAAAATCAGGCTAATTGATGACTACTAAGGAGATTTATAATATGAATTTAGTTAAATATCAATGTCATATACAACTCATGACAAAATCATAAATACTTTTATACAAATTTATTTTTTTTAATATTATGCTAAAAGTATTTAAATGCATATAAACCTAATTAAATATTTAATTTTAATTATTAAAAAATAACAGAGTAATAGATTCATAAAAATGCTTAAATGATTTAACCATTGAATAAACATCTAAAAGATTTAATCACTTCTTTCCATATTTGTTCTTTTCCAAATCAAATTCACAAGTTGAAGTGATTAGATTGATCCTACCCGCCGAAGCGACTAAACCAATCCCATTCGTCGAAGTAACATATTCATCACGTGTACTGTCTTCCTCGGGATGAAAACTTCAAATCTATCCCATCTAAGATTGCAGTTCGAGGAGGTCACTGGGGCCACCCCAGACACGCATCCTTCTCACGTTTAAGGACGCCATCGGAGACAGGGGATTCAGTCCCATCACTCAAGTACTAGAGACAGTAGCCATATCAACAGTTTCTGACATTAGTAGATAACATGCCACGACCTCGACACTACTTTTGTCGTGAGAAGGTTGAAGATGTAGTGTGAGATGTAAAACTAAGATTAGTTTCTAGTTTTCTCCTCTGACATGTGAAAAAGGGGAGAGACGATGGGGAAGGGACTCTCTTTTTATGATTGTGAGTAAAACTGGTGTGTGAATGCTCTTGTGACTCTGTGGTCAGGGATCCGCTTCCCGCCCGATCTTCACTTGTTCGGTTCTCAATGACCCGTAACTACTAACTTAAGTCCGCTTAAAAAGGGGGTTATTACATATAGACCACCCAAAACATTGTTATTTACAAATTAATTTTTATCTTTCATCCATTTTCAAATTCTCACTGAAATATCAAAATTTATGGTAAAATCTCAACTCATATGTTTCATTTTTTTTTTTATCAAATTCTCAATAGCTTGATCGTAGCTAGCACGCGTACGTATATGAGTTCCATGGTTTGAAAAAGTCACCCGGATGCTTAATTCTGTAAATAGCAATGTTTCTGGTGGTTTGTATGTAATTATCCAAAAAAAAAAAAAAACAGTGATCCCTTTTACATATGTCAATATCAGTGGGCCCCACTTTTGTTTATTTATTTATTTTTTTAATCTTATTCGATAGCGTACGCAAATTGCGTGTGCTGTCCGCACAGAATAATCGCTCGATGTGGATGGGGGAGATTTAAGCTCGGGAATAAAGGGCCTGGGGAACGGAAGAGTTTGTAAAATTTGAAGTTTTTAGGGTTAGATATGTAATTACATAAGAATTGAGTGGTGTCGTATGTGAATATTCCTATTTATTGAGAAAAAGAATAATGAGAGTATTTAATTCCGGTGCTTTGCTTCTAAGAATTTGATTCTCGTTTCAAGTTGCATAAAAAATGTGCGTTTGAAGGCATCAACTTGCCACCAATCATAATTTTGGTTCCATGACTTCATGTGCAAACGAGTGATTTATATTAATTTTTTTAATATTTATCTAAATAATAATTGATGATCACAATTCGAATGGTATAATTCTCTTTGAATAGATTCAACATTATTTATTGAAAGGACGATTCCCTATTAATAGATCATAGGGGGTGTCTAGTAATTTAGCCCTTGGTAACTGCTGTTGGCGCCACTTAATATTTGTAACTGCTCAGCTTGACCAGCTGATCGTCATTCGGTCTGCTGAGATTTCTTCGGTTGGTAGACATGTATTTGATCGGCTTTCTTGGGGAAGCCATGAATAGATCTCTTATCCTTTGTGAATATTTATTCTGTTAGGTCCTTCATTAAGGAGAGTGGTCCCTACCGAGATTTGGAGCGATTGTTGACTTTTTTTTTGTGAGTGACCTAGAATCAGTTGAAAAGCCGATTTTATATGGTCATTGGCGGTTCGACCCACAGCCCGGAAGACCTGTAGCCTAGATGACCAACAGTCTGGATGGCCTTTGGCCTGAACAACCCAGAGTCGGGACGACCCGTAACATGGACGACCTGCAACCCAAACGGTCTGTAGCCCGGATGACTCGTTGGCCTGGACAACATGCTCATACATGTAAAATATCAGAAACAACTCTATAACACACCATTAAAGCATGGGCAAACATGCAACTTAAGATATTGTATCCTCAACCCTATCAATCGGGGATCATTTTATAAATAAAATAGGTCATAGAGGTCCAGGAAAACCGTAATTACCCATATTACTGTTCATTTACTGTGTCTCTCTCCCTCTCTCTCTTGACAGTCTCACACTCTATTTCTTGGGTGTGATTCACAGATAAATTCGTATTAAACGACACAAACACATAAGAACTATTTAATATTTACAAAAATCTCCATTTTTTAATGGATAATAGTTTTAAAAAATGTAATATATATAAGATATTTTCATTAGAAATTTAAGAGATTCACGTTACCTGTAAATAAAACTTCTGGTCAATTTTAATATACAATTTGCCATCGTCCCTAGCCGTTTGATTGCTTTTAGATTTGTGCTGGCAGTTTTGGTGCAAATAGGTAAGAAATTATTAAAGCAAATTTAAAAAAAATCATGAATTTTCAAATACTTCAATTTATTTATAATCATTGATTATAATCCATGAGTATGTTATTTATTCTAGTGTTTATACAATTAAAATAATATTTATGTACAAATAATTGGGTCCTATGCATGAAATTGTTATAACAACAATATTTAAATATCTAACGGTCAAAGAGAACAAATGGAATCTATGCGCTCAGCACCCACCATTGACTAATGAAATAATTGTAACTTGTGATTTTTTGTTGTTGTGTTAGGTTAGGGACATTTATAAACATACCACATAATTCGTATGTATTTATATATCAAACACCGAATATTTATATGCACAACACTCAAATCTCTTCGACCACTAGGGGTGTGAATGAATCAAACACGAACGAACAGGACTCGTGTTCGTGTTCGGTTCGTTTAAAATTAAGTGTGTTTGAAATAAGCTCGTGTTCGAAATTATTCCTCCCAAAAACTTCAAAAACTAGGTTTCACTGAAAGAAACTTAAAAAATCAAAAAGAAAATAAGATAATTTAAGCCAAGAGGCAAACTTAGAGATAAATATAAAATTATAGGATTTAATATAAGCTAAGAGACGAACCTGAATATCATATTAT